CTTCAGTGACATTTTATATGTTGAATGACATTATATGATTTGCTGTACAACAATAAAAAGCGGAATAATAAAAATAAAATATATTTCCACCTCAATTGATCAAGATGACATCTTTCCACATTTGATTTTTATTGTATTTGGAAAATAAACAGATTGTTACATTTGAACCTTCATTGTAACAATTGCCCCATCCACCTGTAACAATTGCCCTGTGTAAGGGGTCAGTTGTAACACTTGCAGTCATTGCATTTGATAAGTAATAACTTTGTAACGACATGATAGCGAACCTCAAATGACACTGGGTTTTAAAGCCAAGATGCCAATGTATTAGTTAGTACCGATTAACTTTGTGACAGGTTGACTAATACCGAACTACAACAACTTAAGTAAAAGTGTTACAATTGACTCCGGTCTCCCCTGTATGTATCTATGGATGTTTGACTGTATGGGTGAGTTAGACTATTAGTGGATAGTTACCGGGTAGCGTCAGTAATGATAATTCATTCTGTAAGGTGTGAGACATATCGCGAGAAACAAGTTATCTACCTCCTTAGACCTGTAATGTCTTCGCACTACCAATAACACGCTCGTAAACAAGTCCATTATATAACACCTCTGCATTATATGTAATGGAAATAGTAAATGGCTGAAAAGAAGTTCAGTGCCCATTGTTTGATTATTGGCTAAATGCCCATTCTACGGTGTTTTATAGACTGTTTGTTCCCAGGGACAATCAGTTATCCTCAGCTATTACTTACAACACCCATTTGCCCTTTTCAAACATTCAAGTAGAATATCATTTATCATATATGGGAAGGTTTTTCGGTAGAATTCTAGACCTAGGCTAATATACTAATTCAGGTATGATCATTATAAACAGTATAAGTCGACGATACCCAAAACTGGTGTATGACACGAGGGTAACAAAAATGGAGAAAACTGCATGCAGGCCTCTGTAAGTTGAGGTCTTTTCTCGATTTAAAATTGTTAAATGTGTCCGAAATATGGCCGAAATGTTATTTGTTTATCTCAAATTCCTTCATTTTTTCCACATCTTTATGAATACATCAGAATATGACACAAATGAGGCGGTTTCAAGTACATACACGAAGCATTAGTTTAATGAGAGCGCAGTTGGGAACCGCTGACATGTGTCAATTCTAACCCGGACCTTCACGGGTAGTTTATGAGAGCACTGAGTGAGAGTTGTATCGAAGTTCTGAGATTAACGAGATGTTACAGACTAAAGGGAAATAACTTTATTTCATGTTACTTCGGGATAACTCCCAGCCTGCAAGAAGATACCTCATACACTCAGATGCATTTGGGTCAACCCACGAGGATATGAGGCTTTAATGACCAAAGAGATCACGAGCACCAACCCTAAGTAAATATATTTAGCATTACACAGAAAATAGAAACATTGAATATAACATAAAATAAAGTAATGTAGTAGTAATAGTCCATTTTGATGAATATCTTGCTCAAAGCGCAATAATTAACCCGGATAACCCAAGCTGCCTGTTAGGCGCGAGAAGGTTAATAGTCACATGTTCCATATTCTTGCCTAAGGTGAGACGACATGTATCATGTGCTTCGTTGTGGGGCAGGGCCTAGATTTTCGAAGCTCTCTTAGCGCTAAGATAGTCGTAAATTAATGTTAATGTATGGCACTTACGACTATCTTAGCGCTAAAAGAGCTTCGAAAATCTAGGCCCAGAACCGAAGTCCTAGAAACTCTCAGGAGTCGAGCTGCCAAACACGGTCACCCATCCGAGGACTGTCTGCGCTCAACGTTGCTTAACTTCAACTGATATGTGACCGGGGCCCTTATTCTCGAAACGTTCGTAGCCCTAAGAATTCGTAACTTTTATCGTAGCCAATGTGTTAAGAATGGGCTTAAGAAGTTCGTAGGGCTACGAACGTTTCGAGAATAAGGGCCCTGAGCTCTATGCACAAGGCCACACACCACACAAGTGATGGTCTTCGCGAAAATGTTCGGTGCACCTTCCTCCAATTCTTGCTGTTTACAATATTATTGCTTAACAATGGAATATATGTTGTGCATGATGCGGTACCGTACACTGGCACTCAAGTGGTCCCCATCCTCGGCATAGTGGGTCTGGATGTTCGGTTTCCTTTAGTTACGTCGGACCACCAAGACCTGGATCTCTCCCTTGCGTGTGTTAAGACGCCAGTTCCGGTTTTTCGGAACAATACTTACATTGTATTGCCTGTTACGCCATCCAAGACCAAAATAGCAGATGGCTTATATGTCAGTGAAGCCTGTACATCCAACGCATTATTGTAAATCGATGCCACAATATCATAATTATTATCATATGTTATTTGGTTAGGGGCCGTAGGTATGCTACAAATTGCGTATTAACGTACATCGAAACACAGTGCCATCTGTTTGAATACTAGTATACTGTCTTCATTTGGGCAACGTTCATGTCATGCCACTGACCGGTCGTCCACCTTTAACGACACGACAAGAAGACAACCATATTCAGTTGATGCATCGACAGAATTGATAGCAAACTGCACCCATAACAATCAAGCATACGACTTTATGGAAAACAACTTCTAATGTATTGCATACAGCGACGTTTCTGTGTAGATTCTTACACCGTTAACTGCGGTAAATACCTGTTCCCGATATCAGAGGACATTTTATTTTGTTCGTCACGCACCTCAAGTTTGTGGAGACAAAATCTGAGGGTCAGTAGACAAGACGGGGACAGTATACTGTTCTCAAACGATTCCAGGTTTTATCTGATATTCTTGCAAGGGTCTGGGAAAAAAAACATTTTGAGGACGCTTGCCTCATTCAACGTCGTCAGTTTGGGAGACTGTAGTGTAGCTTGTTCACATGCTGCGAAGACGCCAAGACCTCACTATTACCAAAGGAGCCCCGATATGAATTCCATCGAACATCTCTGGGTCAACCTTGGACACCAAGTTCGAGCTAGCGATCTTCCTTTTCAAAATCTTCAGGACTTAACGCAGACACTCCTTGAAGAATATCAGAGGATTCCGATGCTGAGAATTCGACGCTTGGTTGCCAGTATGAGGAGGAATGTGACAGAGGTTGTCCGTGCGAGGGATGGCAACACCAGGTGCTGATGTGTCCAGTGGTGGTTCATGCTAACTGACTGACTGACTGAGTTTGGTTTTACGCCGCTTTTAGCAATATTCCAGCAACCTCACGGCAGGGGACACCAGAAATGGGCTTCACACATTGTACCAATGTGGGGATTCGAACCCGGGTCTTCGGCGTGACGAGTCAAGGCTTTAACCACTAGGCTACCCCACCGCCCGGTGGTTCATACAATCTCAATCTCACCAATCATTATTTGAGTACTGCGTGGCAATCAGATTTTCGGCGTAGTAATGGTGACCATACGTCCGACATTGTTGATTTTCACGTGTTTGTGTGTTGTTTCAAATTGCAAGTGAATTGTTAGCGAATATCAATTTCAGTTTTGATTATGTTTCAATCACTGTAAAATATGTTACAGTTACATTTTAACACGCTGAACTTGCTTTTCAAAGCATACACAAGTTGTGTTGTCAGGCTTATCATATCAAGAAAACGGGGTTGTTGCTTGATTAATACTTACGTGTACATACGTGCGCGGATTGGGCGAATTACACACAATAAGCATTTACACAACACAATGTACACAACGGATTTATTTATTTAGTGTATATGAAGTTCTGCTTTATTACTGAAAGGTCAGATACAAACTTGCAAGTCAGCAAATACTGTTCTTATATTCCCTTGTCTCCATGCACAACAAGCAGCTTACGGAACATCCGAAACAGTTTGTCCATCACAGTGATTCAGCAGCAGGTGCTACTGGGATGAAATACTCCACGACAGGATCGTGGTATAACACAGTTATACATCACGGCAATTAGGAGATAAACATCATGTGTTGGCCAATTCCCGGGTGTTATTGAGTATTTGAAACACGGGAATTCATTTGGAACCGACGGCGTCAGCCGGAGGTTTCAAATGAAATATTCCCGTGCTTCAAATACTCAATAACACCCGGAAATAAGCCAACACATGATGTTTATCGACATTGTAAACACAAACGTAAACCAAAAGGTCCACACACGTTTTCGTGTCTGCACTCATTGACATCGTGTACGGGTACAGCAGTGAAATGTCATCAGCCGGCCGTTTCGGCTGTCTCCCATGGTTGCATCTGGAATTGCTCATTTGTGACGTCATTCGGACTTTACGTCACAATATGATTTTAATGACGTCATCACAGCTGACGACGTAACAATACAATGGTGTGAGCGATGTTTGTATGTATTAATACGCAACGAATTTCCGGGAATCGAATACCATTTGATCACGTTTATCAACCAATCAGATTAAAGAACACAGTGACTTTTGATTTACAATATAGGTTTGAAGACTGTGATACAGATACAATGCACACATATCGAATTCTCCATATCCCCCAGGTATACAAAACCTGGGCCCCGATCCATAAAGCGTTCGTAACGTCAGGGGCGACCCCACCCCCTCTCCTCTCCCCCGAAAAAGAATTCCCTGAGGAGTATTTCCCCCTAACCTTCCTTTGGACGTTATGACTGAGGTGTGTCTTAGCGCTACGAACGTTTTGTTGATCGGGCCCCTGATACATAAGAGACAATAAATACTATATACAATACCATAGATATATATACTACTCTACAAAGAAGTGCTTTACTATCATCTAATACAAGGTTGTACAGGACTGATAGCTTATTCTAATATTATGTCCACTTGCGCGCTCTATATCCACAACCACGTGCTCCTGGTGATTAAACCGATGCGAGAAAGAATGCTGAAATAACTTTCAAAAGATGTGTCTTTAACAGTGCTTTCTGCCAAATCTTAAACAGGACTTCTTTTTTACCATAAACTGGCGTATAAAAGAAAATAAAGACCTGAATATTTTGGCAACACGTACAAAAAGTGTGTGATTTCTGAGTTGCAACCAAAAAACTTTAATTTCGAAATATTTACGTTGCTTTTCGGACAATAATCCCAATCACTAAATGTGCACTTTCCTTTTCACAGGAGTTTAGCAAGCAAGGTTACAGAAACGAGACATAGATGTGGAAATTCGAAATATGTTTGAAAGGATGCTTCAGAAATTGAGCTTTGAATCGTGTCAAAGATTCTCCAAATTTAAAGGCGTCCACTTCCAGTACTAAACGTCAGTAGATTCGGATCGTGCTAATAACCTGTAGTATACAAAACCTACATTCGTCAGTCCTTACCAAGAACGACAACTGCCGTCCACGGTTGCGATCATGGGAACAAGTGCTTGTCAAAAATAACAAAAATAATGGATAATGGATTGAAACACTGTCACAATATGGCCGTGAAAGAAGATTAAGGACAATACTGGCTTCCTATCACTGAGTTTGGTTAAGGACGAAATTTTGCCTTTAATACATCGACATGAAATGGAATGAAATTAATTTTCAACAGAATACTTCACGATCAAATTTATAATAAGAGCGTTATCATGTTCCCGTCATCATTAACATCGAAACACGAGAACGCAACTGAAGTTTGTTTGTTTTTACAGAGTGATCTCCGCTTGTCATGACATTTTTTTTCCTCTTCTATTTTTCATCTCTCACTGAACAGTCTGTCTCAAATCTGATAACGTTCATTCTTGATTCACTTCCTCTTTCGTCTTATCATTTTCCTCTCTTTCCGAAGACTTCTTCTCCTTGCCTGGCTCTTTATTGTCAACATTCACTTTGGCTCCTTCCGGTTTTACAGCTTTCTGATTACCGGATTTATCCAAGTTTGGTTCTGTTCCTCGCTGTGATTGGTTAGATCTGTCAAGGGAGTTCATCCGCGACCTTTTCCCGAACTTCCTTTCTCTACCCTTCAGGAATTCGGTCTTAATTTGTTCCAGGCGGGCGAGCTGGTGCTCACGTTGTCTGACAAGTGTTTTCTCCCTTCGTTCGAGCTGCTCCCGTTTCCGGTTGTAGTCCAGCTTTTCGACCTCATTTTCCCGTTCAAGCATTTGCTGCTGACGTCGCTTCCTCTCTTCCCAAGAGTCCCTGCGAGTAATTAGTAATCAGATGCATTACTTCACCTACTGAGCAAAGTACTAACTTGAAAAAACAGCTACATACTTAGCATTTTGTTGAAACGTGGCCATGGTACACCTTTTAGCTCAGAACGCATGTATAAGGGAAGTAACTCTACGGGAGAAGATTACGTGTCTGTGGGCACAGGTACGCCTGGCTGTGGTTAAAGTTCGCCCTTCAACAATCTGAATTTATTTATTTTTTTATCTATGTAAATTGATATCAGTTATTTATTAGATCTAGGTGTGTATGTTATTGGTAGTCCAACATTGTATTACTTGGATATTTCACTCACTCACTCACTCACCCATTCACCCACTCACCAACCCACTCACTCACCTGATTCGCCTCTCGGTATCAGCTATGTGTCTATGTCGTTTCTCCTCCATCCTGAACGACAATAAACTCTCCCGCCGCTTCAGTCTTGTAACGAGGCTCTCACTCCCGGTTGTACATGTCAAGCCTCGCTTTCAAAATGGAGTTCTGGCGCTCTTCATCCCGTTCTGAGAGGTCACTCTCGGACTGGGCCTCGCGAGACCTCCGTCTGTTAGCTTCAAGCTCGAGTTGTCTGGAACAGCAAAGGAAGTTCTGACATGTACGCCTACCTCTACGTCTATGTGTTTAAAGTAGTGTGGGGCAGTGGGGTAGCCTAATGCTTAAAGAGTCCACTCGTCACGCTGAAGACCCGGGTTCGAATCCCCACTTGAGTACAATGTGTTGAGCCCACTTATTGTGTCCCCTGCCGTGATATTGCTGGAATATACCGCCGTGATGTTGCTGGGATATTGCTAAAAGCGGCGTAAAACCAAACTCAGTCAGTGCTGGAATATTGCTTAAACCATACTGACTTACTGCACACTCAAAACGGACATCCGATCCGATCACAAGGACCGATGTGATCTCACACTTTACAACAACTTGTGAGCAGTTTCGTACTTGAAAATATTTACATATTATGCTGAAACCGGGGGGCATTGCTTTTGTACATGACATGAGTCGTGGGGGTGTCACTAACTTGTACTTAAATGTTAGGTGGAGTCATTCACATTGTACATGCTTCACCATAAAAATCATATCACACACACACACACACACACACACACACACACACACACACACACACACACACACACACACACACACACACACACACACACCCCGACCCCCACCATTATTTATGAACGGTCCCTTAGCACTACGATTATCTTAAGTCTATGTTAAAATGAGTGAGTGAGTGAGTATGGTTTTACGCCGCTTTTAGCAGTATTCCAGCAATATCACGGGGGGAATACCAGAAATTGGCTTCACACATTGTACCCATGTTAGGAATCGAACCGAGATCTTCAGCTTTAACCACTAGGCTACCCCACCGAATATGAGAGTTAGAATCAGCGCTAAGATCGCTTTGTGCATGTAGGACCTGACCTCCCACTGGTCAGAATATATCCCATGTACACTTACTTGTACAACAAATTTAAGTTTGTAACAATTTGACCATCTGAACATGTGTCAGGGTTGCCAGATGGCGTCGATAGTTTGTTTTCAGTTCCAAACTACAACCACGTGTTCCAGACTTGTTTTTGTTTCGCTGAGTTTTTATTGCTCATCCCGTGAAGATCCGGGGTAGAATAGGTCTTCAGCAACCCATGCTTGCCACAAAAGGCGACTATGCTTGTCGTAAAAGGCGACTAACGGGATCGGGTGGTCAGGCTCGCTGACTTGCTTGACACATGTCATCGGTTCCCAATTGCGCAGGTCGATGCTCATGCTGTTGATCACTGGATTGTCTGGTCCAGACTCGATTATTTACAGACCGCCGCCATATAGCTGGAATATTGCTGAGTGCGGCGTAAAACTAAACTCACTCACTCACTCACTTTTATTGCTCATAGATGACTGAAACACTGTCACTGCAATCTGATATTAAACAATTATTATCTTATCTTCAGGATTTGTCGATTGTGCCCTTCAGATATACACATATCATTTTAACCCATAACCATAAATATTTTCATAATTATGTTTGTGTGATTATTTTGACCCTCGGGCATTGATTTTAGACTTGTAGGTGCTACTGTAATGGGAAAGCATCACTTGTAAGTCAAAACAGGTTTCCGTTGTTTTTGCGTTTAGATTTGCCATTTAATTATTTATTCAGGGTCAGTTTATCCAAATAGTAAGTTAAACCGAGGTTTGGATAAGTTGCTATGGTTAATGGTAACATATCGATACTATGCAAAATATGGGGCGTTGCGATACTTTTTTTCATGTGTATATTTACTACTCTTAGGGTTATCTGAGATCTGCTGCTGACTCTTCGGGTGAAAGTCAACTCAAACTAACCTGTGCCTCTTGAGATTAAAGTCTGTGACGCTCCTGTGGCGTAAGTATTCCCTGTATTCGTTGAACTCCTTCACGGAGCATGTGATCTTTGAGTCCTTGGTGATGAGCCCGTTGCCCAGCAAGATGCGCTTGGTCGGGGGTTTCTGGAAGTAGTTCTTGAGGAAGGGGTCTTGTAGGGAGTCGTACTCGGCAGGGGTGGCGTTACCTAGGGGGGTCCGTCAGGTCGAAGTCGTATCTGGAATGAAGAAGTTTTCCGCCGCTTCTAGCAATATTTCAGCAATATCATGGCAGGGGACACCAGAACTGGGCTTCACTTCACTCATTGTACCCATGTGAAGAATCGAACCCGGGTCTTCGCTTTAACCACTAGGCTACCCAACCGCCCCAGAAGTTTCCAGAAGCAAACTAGCAGACTCTCCCAGCCTTGAGCGCGAAGTAAAATGGACCCTGTAATGTTTCCAAGATCGAAGAACAACACGAGAGACCAGATTCAAGTCAATTTGCATTTCGAATTCGCACATATAACATCGCAGTCCACAATTCAATCCCCTCACGGGCCAACGATCGCAAATCTCACAGTGGTAACAACACAGACTTCCACGTTTGACCTGTACGCGCTGGCACTGTTAGTGCTACTGACTATAGAGCACGTGCAACATTATGCTGCATCAGAGTACACCATGACTTGGAAAATTCGCAAGACCACGTCGCACCCATATTTCCCGCTCGCTCCAAGCACGTTCACAAGGGAGCTAACTCCCATGAATCAAACTGTCAACCGCTAAGAAACTTGCCGTTACAGACCCCATTCTAATTGGTGCTAACAAGCTAAACAAGAGGTCTGTCGTTTGTAGATCGAGGTCGAGGTCACGTGCTGTGTCCTCCTATTACTGAAATTAGTGAGTGAGTTTAGTTTTAGCAATAATCCAGCAATATCACGGCAGGGGACACCAGAAATAGGCTTCACACATTGTACCCATGTCGGGACTCGAACCAAGATCTAAACACCGACCCTCCGCATACTGGAGTAAGAGTAGGGGGGATCCAGTGGGATACCCTACCCCCTGCTTTTTCACATTACTTTTTTCATACCATTATTTTGACAAGCAGAATCAGGAACGGGTGTCTTGAATCTCAGTATAGCTAACTACGGTCCCGTTCCTAAAAGGTCGTAGCACAGCGACAGTCGACAGGCTATTTCAGTGTTGTGGCTCCTATCAACTGAACGTAAAAATATTTTTGCGGCAGAGAGATTAATGACGTCATTTGATTATGACGTCATGGTAACTAATGACGTACTTCTGCCTGTTGATGTACTTGGGTTGACCGATCTCCGTGGTAAACAGCGTGTACGATCCCCGGGGGCTAGGGGCCACGGGCAACTTGGAGTCCAGGGACAGGGTGGACCAGTAAGGTAAGTTGTCCCCCAGGGGCAGCAGGGACCTGCTGAACACCTTCTGGCGGCGGGGGGCGGCGAGGCGATCCATCGGTGAGATGCGGGCCTGGAATAGAGAAGACCATAATGACGGTACAGAGAAACTGTATAGCATTTTAAAAAATATGACGTTGCGATATTGCGCTGAACAATGTCACTGCATTGTCTCCACTTTGTATTAAATATCTAGGATACACAGACTTTGGTGTTATTTTTACATTTATAGACGTATATACTTACAACAACAAAAATTAACGTTACGGCCTGTCGTAACTCCCATACTTTAACGTAAACGTAGGACTGTCGTAGCGCTACGATCGCTTTGAGGAACGGGGCCCAAGATCCCAATGCGCAAAGCGTTCGTAACGTTACGACCTGTCGTTTATCATAGGGTTACGAATGTTTTGTGAATTGTTACCCAGAACTTATATGTGTGTGCGTAAGACCTCTTTTCTAGATAAGATAGTAGTTGCTATAACCTTAAGATTAGAGATAATCTCATAAACAAAATGAACATACAGCAAGTAGCCATTATATTGGTTCATCCAACTGACAAGAAAACTGTAATTACAACGGCATTCATTAATGTCGGGCACAGCTAATTAAGCAGTAGCTGTAAGATATTGTCCTGTCCAACGTAAAATGTCCTCTGACTCCTTAAGTAACAAACAAACGGAAACACCATGGCAGATTACGAAGGTAAGTCATTTTGAATGCACTTCATTTCCACACGTGAGGAACTGGTAAAGAATACGGGTTAGTATCGATTTTCATTAACCCATGCTTGTCGTTAGAGGCGACTAACGGGATCGGGTGGTCAGGCTCGCTGACTTGGTTGACACATGTCATCGATGCCCATGATGTTGATCACTGGATTGTCTGGTCCAGGCTCGATTATTTACAGTCCGCCGCCATATAGCTGGAATATTGCTGAGTGTGGCGTTAAACAACAAACAAACATGTAATGTCCGTGCAGCATATTTGTGTGGTTTTCCGTAAATTACAACTGATGTCATATAAATGTCAGACTGAAATATAAAATGTGATTACGCATTGTTGTGTTACTTAAATATATTATAATCATTTAAGTGGAACTTTGACGTCATCATACTCGAGAACTTCACTATCGTGATCCTTCAAACAACAAATGGAATTTTATATAACAGTATTTCAATCTGTCCCCTTCAACGTAGTACTGTGATGGTTCTTATATTGGTAGAAGTACACTACTGTCTAAATGTCCATTCCCCTTGAAAGCGTTGAGAACGCGTGTGACACGCATGTGATACGGATGTGCAACGCGTTTGAGTCCCGTGTCACACGGGTGTGCAACGCGTTTGAGTCCCGTGTCACAAGCGTGTGCAACGCGTTTGAGTCCCGTGTCACACGCGTGTGCAACGCGTTTGAGTCCCGTGTCACACGCGTGCGCAACGAGACACACACGCGTGTACCACGCGTGTAACACGGGACCAAGTTTCATTTGAATTTGACGAAAAGCGTTTAAGGTTGCATACTTAAAACTGTATGAATTTTGAATTCGGAAATTTGTAGGAAGTGGTCGAGAATGAACTACAGGATGGTTCAGTTGGTACTTGTTTTGCTTATTTTTATGTTTTGTGTTTGTATTTTTAATGTAGTACTTGTTTTGTTTATTTTTATGTTTTGATTTTGCATTTTTAAAGTTATCACTATCTGGTTATATGGGATTATATGCGAAGTAGAAGGCCAGTATTGATAAGAATTATACCTAAGGCTTTGAATGTTTGAGTGTTATTTAGTGGGGTTAGAAGTGTTTGTAGTGTTACTGTGTGTTTGTGTCCAGTGAACTCTGGAGTACCATTCTGTGTTGTTGGTAGTGTGTGCAGTGTTGTAGGACGTGCGCGGGCGTTTCTGTTTCGTTGCAGTCTGTGAATTTGTCTGTTTGGAATTTAATTTTGCTGTCTGTTTGGAATTTGGCTATTGTCCTGGAAATATTTCTACATTTATGGTAGTTGTTCTTTAATCTTGTAAGTGGTTTTATTTGATATATTGTTTAGTTATGATTTTGAAATTGGGTAGTTACATTGCCACTTTTTGAAGATTTTGGTTAGGATAATATTTTTTTATGAGATAATATTATTTAAAAACGAAGTGAAAAGCCTTTAAATGGAACACTCATGAAAGAACACATATTAAAGTCACATCGTTCATGTTCGCTCTGTTGTTTACTGTTCCCAAACACCAAGTAAGTGGGATACCGAGTCTGTGCCCTCCAGGACAGTCGTGGTGTCAGTGAGTAACTGCAGGGGTGTCCGGGATTGCCAGATTTGAAAAATACCAATTGCCGCTAATGCCACATTTCAAGTACAAACCTCGGCGCCGCGAATCGCCGCGCTTTTTCAAATAAGCGTCACCAATTGTTTTAGTGGCTTGTCCTTTGTTTGTTTAGTTAACATATGATGGGCGGCTTCTTTATTCTGGTTGAAGTTTTTAGTTAACACATGATAACATATGTTCTGAGATAAAATGATACATAATAATGGGTCATTCTATGGAAAAGGGCAATTTCAGCTTTTGCTCTTAATAAAACTTTGTTTGTATTTTTTTTTATGTCTTCATGTAAACTACTTTGGTTTGTATGATTGGTATATCGTATCAGCAGAGAAGTTTGGACAAGAATTTTGCTTAAAAACAGCTATGAAATGGAAAGAGTTAGGCGTCACATATGTGGTTGTTAGTATATTTGTACAATAAATGGTCCTTCTTCTATAATATACTAAGCAGCAAAAGAAACATCAGTTTGGAATTTTCCTCTGCAGAAACGGATAACTGTAAACTCATTTAATGTTTTGATTGTATATTTTTGACAACATCTCCAACTTTATCCGAGCAAAGATATTCCTTACCAAACTCAGAATGGAACCCAGGAAATGGTCTCAAAAACACAACCTGATATCTCGGAGATGGTACGGTGTTCTCTTTGTTTTCATGCAACTCATGCTGCACGTGCTCTTCACAAGGACCAGCGCTATAAAATGCACCTCCAAACCTGGTTGAAACATTAACATTACAACGTCAGCAGGATGACGCGACTCACGACAGCTAAGAGGAACCAGGCGCTAGCCAGACTTGAAGCTGGCCACACTGCACAAGCCGTTGCCAATCACTTCCAGGTCAATGTTCGGACCATCTACAGGCTGCAGGAACGTTTCCGGGCCACCAACACCACAAATGATCGCCCCCGTACTGGCAGGCCAAGGGTGACCACAAGACGGCAAAACCCTCCATTTTGTGCTACAGCATGTACAGAATCCCTTTTTGCAGGCATCCGAAGCAGCACGCCAGACAGTGGGAACACACGGAAGACCAGTCAGTACTGATACAGTACGCCGACGTCTTAACAGCGGGAACCTCCATTGCCGTAGACCTTACCGTGGACCAATCCTCTGCCCTCGTCATCGGCGTGAACGTCTACAGTTTGCCTTACAACGTCAAAACTGGCGATACAGGCAATGGATAACTGTTCTGTTCACAGATGAGAGTCGGTACTGCGTATCAACTGCAGATGGCAGAACAAGAATATGACGACGACGTGACCAGCGTTACTCAGACCAATGTGTTATGGAAAAAGACTCATGGGGAGGTGCAAGCATCATGGTCTGGGGTGGAATAGGCCTGAACCAGAGAGTGGGTCCTGTGGTGTTTCAGAACCTTGGTCCAGGGAGAGGAGGCGGCATCACAGCGGTGCGCTACATCGACCAAGCTCTCAGACCCCACGTCATACCACATTTCGCACGTCACCGGAACAACATTTTCCAGCATAATAACGCCCGGGCCCATACTACCAGAGCTACACGGGACTTCCTACAGCAGAACGGTGTCAACATTATGCAGTGGCAAGCCCTTAGTGCTGATTTAAACCCAATTGAACATCTTTTGGATGAGATTCAGAGGAGACTGAATAATGTCATACCAAGGTCGAACACAGCCGGTTTATTGCGCCAGGCCCTTCTCAGAGTATGGTTCCAGGTGCCAATGGCCTTCATCAATTGATTGGTGCACTCCATGCAAAGACGCTGTGCTGCAGTTATTGCCGCTCGTGGTGGTCACACTAGATACTGAAGTCAAGAGTCTGAATGGACTGCAAACGTTCACATAATGTCTTGGAATTGTGCTGAGTTATTCATTGATGTGTCAGGATATTGTACACAAAAAATGTTTTGTATCAGTTATTATGTCCATTTCTGTAATGATTTGATTACAGTGCCTATCTAATTTTGAATTCGTACTGACGTTTTTTTCGCTGCTGAGTATAGTTTTTATTTATCTATTTTTTGTTGTTGAGTTTTAAGCATGAATGTAAACATAATAACTGAGGCAACCATAGCTAATTCGTAAAAGGGGTCTGAGTATACCTACGTGAGGCAGCTAGTTTGCGTGATCTGGACTGTTTTCCTCGAGCAATTCAACTGGATTTCGAGATTTTACATAATTAATATTTCACTTTATTTACGGTAACACAGATTAGCTAATAGCGCATTGCCGGGAGAGCCCCATTCACACGATCACTCAACCATGTCCATTGCCGGTTAAGCCACACAATTTCAACTCCGTTTTTCTTAAATGTGGCTTTCCCGGGCTGTAACCGCCGCAGCAACCCCTAGTCAATAGCTACATAGCATTTCACAGTAGACAACTCTCATTACTTTGGGCGTGAAAATATTCCTGCTTCTTTTTCCTCGACCCAGTTTTATATTTTGTATGAGAATAAATATGTTTGCAACAGTGACACATGGGCAGGAATGTTAAGTTTAGCGCAGAATCCATGTTTGTGGGTTGTAAATGAATGTAACACAAAATTCAACTCATTTTGACATAATTCGAATAATTTAGAGCGTTATTAAAAAATCTCGTCCATGGGAGAAAAACATTTCGCCCATGAGCGAGAATAGTTGCATTTTCTCAAAATACATGGTTTTTTTAATATTTGAGAGGTTGTAAATGAGTGAAAGTATGTTTATAGGTATCATGAGAAAAAATTAAATCATTTGGACTTAATTCGACTAATTTAGAACGTTATTTAAGAATATTTACTTTTGCTCAAAATACATGTTTTCCCATGTTTTGGAGGTTGTAAATGAACGAATGTATGTTTTTAATTATCATGACAAAAACAATTAAAATCATTCGACTAATTTTGAGCTTTATTAAAGTCTCGCCCATAGGCGAGAATATTTACTTTTGCTCAAAAAACATGGATTTTAATGTTTTGGAGGTTTTAAATGAATGAAAGTATGTTTATAAGTATCATGAGAAAAAAATAAATGATTTGGACTTAATTTGACTAATTTTGAGCATTATAAAAAAGTCTCGCCTATGGTCGAAACACAATTTGGCCCATGGGCGAGAATATTTACTTTTGCCCAAAATACATGTTGTTTTCGTGTTTTGAAGGTCATGGGCTGTAGTAGCAGTAGCCATAGTAGTAGTAGCAGCAGTAGTAGTAGCAGCAGCAGCAGCAGTAGTAGTAGCAACGGCAGCAGCAGTAGTAGTAGTAGTAGTAGTAGCAGCAGCAGCAGCAGCAGCAGCTGCAGTAGTGGTAGTAGTACCAGTACCAGTACCAGCAGCAGCAGCAGCAGTAGTAGTAGTAGTAGTAGTAGTAGTAGTAGTTAGCTAGTTTGGTTTGGTGTCTGAGAGCAATACACCCACATTTCACACACACAACCATAAACCCCTCTGCATGCTCGTGTCCAAAACTGGAGCAACAGACAGAAAGATATTACCTGAGGCATATTCCTCTAACGAGAGTCTCGCAGCAGACGGGATCTCACCTGACTACCTGCTCTTCTCCCGGCGGGTCACGTGGTACTTCGACAAGCCTGAGGACAAAAACAGAATGTGAGGGGCATCTTCCGAAAACCTTTACATACAATAAATTCGAGATTTCGGTTATCACAACCCTAACATATATTTTTAGGTTTTATTATGTAGAAAATAGGCTCTGCATGTACAATCAATGTCACTCATAGTCAAACACTGAATCTCCCAGTATATCGCAATACGTATCGGAATATTTGCCAATACACTGCCCTGCTGAAAAGTGAGTGAGTGAGTGAGTTTTGATCATCTAGCGTGTCTAGCTCAGCCAACCAAGGACATTATTTCACACAACTTCAAATAGAAAGTTTGATGGTTTGATTATCCATAAGTTTTGTCTTCTATTCAAACAGATATGTTTTCATATCTGCTCGGTCCCATTAACATCACAATAAAAGTCCTAGGAATTCCCGTATTTAGGCCCACGCGAAATTTAGCCAATGGGCTAAAATACGGGATTTAAATTTGGATTTAATTCTTGGGTGTTTAGAGTGACGTCCCTTTCCAAACGCATGGCGAGCCTCGACGTTTTCAACATTAGTAGTGCCTCTGCGAGGTTATCACGTTTACAGAACATTTTGGACACCCGTTACAGGGTAATTATTAGTGACAGAAATTGATCATCTTAACCCCTACGATGTGCATGCAGTTGCAGTTAAATTGAACCATGCGGTCATTCAATTTTGAATTTATAGACCAGTTTCCTGATAAAAGAGTATTTAAAAAACGATTCTTTTTATTTATCAACATATACTCATGCCGATATTGGTTGTCACCCCTTCAATTTTTTAATTGGAGAGGGTGTGGGGTGTGGGTGTGAGGTGTGGGGGTGGGTGGGTTTGGGGAGGAGGGTGACAACCATTATTGGCATGAGTATATTACGCATTTTCGAATTTGAGCCCTGGACTTATATACGATTAAAAATTGTCATCACTAGAACAGTGATTCTCTGGTACATAAAATATTAACTGTTTGAGAGGCATTCTAGAAGTTGTAAACAAAAGGAATGACAAGCGTTTATGGATGATCAACTTCTTTATTGTACAACGGCGAGACGTTTCGGTATAGATGCTTATACCGTTTTCAAGCATGACATGGGGAATGAGTACAGCAGAATATATACTCATGCCAATAATGGTTGTCACCCCCTTCATTTTTTTTTGAGAAGGGGTCGGGGTGTGAGGTGTGTGGGGGTTGGGGTGGGAAGGGGGTGACAACCATTATCCGCATGAGTTACATAGGGTACATGAGGGCTAACAAAGACAATGGATGATGTTGTTATTCGGCTTATGTATGTTGATGCTTGTGTTCATTGTTAATCATCTTATTTGTATCATCCATTGTCTTTGTTAGCCCTCATTTAGGAGATAAACGTACTGTGTTTGGAAATTAGATGAATGTTAGACCGAATTGATAGTCTCTAAATTTCATTTGAAGCCGAACGCGTAGCGTGAGGTTTCAAATGATTAATTTAGAGACTATCAATTCGGTCTAACATTCATCTAATTTCCAAACACAGTACCTTTATCTCCATTCTACCATAACTTATTTAAAATCGAACTTCCTCGTCCTGCGGAAGACACTGCGTAATCCGGCATGGGACCACTCTCCTACCCAGAGTTCCATGCGGCAAGCCAGCATAGTATCTCTGACGATTCGTCACATCTTGCCATGTCCATTCAATATAATGTACAGATTACTTTAACTGTTTTATTTTGGACGAGTCTACACATCTGACTCAACATCTTTAATAGAATGGTTTAGTTTCACTGAGAAAATATCCAAAAACATGTAACGCTATTTCGATTTGCGTAGCGATCCTTTGTTTACATAGGTTGTACGGCTCCACGTGCTGTCATCGAAGCTGATGGAGAGCAAACGATGCAGCCAGTTTGATATCTAAATATGTACTGTCATAGACCTTACTGTCGGAGTTGTGGAAGAATATATATGTAACAATGTAAAACATTATGAACAGAGCGCCGAAAAGCTTTCGTGAGTCCAGTCTCTTCTTATTATGAATATGCGCGTTTGATTACAAACAAGAGAAAAGTCCGGTCACGTGATATGCAAATTAGCCTGTGGCAGTGATGTTATGTTAAGTCATCGCTGTGCCGGAGTGTGGCATGGGACGAGAGGCGAATTGAACTCGTCTGATAAAGGAGTGGTAGGTTCCTTTCGTATTTTCGTTAACATTGCAACATAAAAAATATTCTGTCCAAAGAAAACATACTACTGTTTATTCAATGCAATAATGTAACACATAAGAGCTTGGTTTTTTATAATCATAACCCCACAAGACCAAAACCAGCCTATTGTTTTGTGTGCCGTGTTACTGTACCCCCCTGTCCACACTATAATGGAATCGTCTGACCTACTTATTTTCTTGGAAGTAGACAGTTACGCAACAGTTTGAAATGGCGGACGAGCCAGTGTTTACATTTTGCGAAAGGTTGAAATTCGAAGTGACAGTGGAAAATACTTGACTGACTGTCGAACCTGAACCCTGCAGAATCGAAGAATAGATCCTTTTCTGATCGACCTATAACCCGTAAGTCATCAAAGACTGTTAATTTTTTATGACCGGGCCGGCGAGCGTCGATCATGATTTCACGTACGTGCCGCCACCCCGGCATGCGAGGAAGAGTGACAGTACTGCTGCTTTGTGTACCTTCGACTAACTTGGGATTCCTTGGATCATTGTTCTCGTCATTTGGGACTGGATTGTGGCCAAGCTTTTCAAAGTGTACGAACATAGCTGCAGTGACAGCCTTCGGGGAAGGTTGAAGAGAACTAAATTCTCATGGTTACGTTTTTGACATTTGAACGATGCAACGGGACATGATGGAGTATGAGTGGCAAATTTTGTGTTTCGCCTGACCGTTATCTTGCGAATTTCCCATTCTAAAGGGAAACAAATATACCATTTATCGGTAGGTTAATGTTTACAAACGTTTTGCCGCACAAATAGGGATAGATAGGGATGTATTGTTACAAGGTTTTCTGATTTATATGTTAGATATTGTTTGTTTATGTGTGGGGCTGTGTATTGTAATTGAGTTTGAATATTTTTATAATAGAAGGTAATAATTATGATAGTGAGGTCCCCTAATAATTGTGGTGGAGAAATCGTATAATTGTATTTTTCGAGTTTTAATAAATGTTTCATCAGTATTTCCATCACGTCTGTTGTGTTGATGTTAGTCATGTTGGTGGCCAAGCTGAAGTAGTGCGGCAGGGTTGTAGACGTGCGCAGTGAAGCGCCGTGAAATCAGACGCATTTTCAATCCAAATTGATACCGTCTGATTTTGTGGCTTGACCAATCAAATTCGAGCATTTCACGTAGCCATGGTAGAATGGTTAATGACACATGTCTTAATGACAATGTCTTAATGACACATGTCTTAATGACAATGGCCGGAATTTATACACATGTAAAAGCGATAGTTTATCCATATAAAATGATGTTATGTTTTTTCGCTGTGATCTTAAAAAACAGGTTTTGGCAACTACACTTGAAACAAGAGCTATTCTCCAATGATCGTATAATATAAGTGACGGTGATTACACATGCTCTTCATCTTCAATTCAACGTTCCAATTAATGTAAAGCCGTGTTTTCAAGGGACAGAATTTCTGCAAATTCATTTCATTATAATTAATGTTCATATTGTTAAGGGATATGTGAAATGGACAGACTATTGTGCATTAATGAATTGTGTATCGTGACAATAATTGTACGAAGAGGAGACAAAAACAAATGAAGCGTACGTAATATATACGTTTGATCGCATTTCATCTGCAGAATCTTAGGAGCGAAACACGACCTGTTCAGTGAGTGAGTGAGTTTAGTTTTACGTCGCACTCAGCAATATTCCAGCTATATGGCGGCGCTCTGTAAATAATCGAGTCTGGACCAGACAATCCAGTGATCAACAGCATGAGCATCGATCTACGCAACTGGGAACCGATGACATGTATCAACCAAGTCAACGAGCCTGATCACCCGATCCCGTTAGTCGCCTCTAACGACAAGCATGGGTTACTGAATATCAATTCTAACCCGAATCTTCACGGGTCTAATTTTGAAAGAAAGAAACAACTATATAATAGGGGATTCGTAGGAAAATCTAGATTAAATCTAAATCTAGTGGAAAATTCGAAGCATTTACATTGCATATAGGGCTGGGTGGAAGGGAAAGATATAGATCAAGGACTATGAGACAGACTACTTTACAAACAAACAATAATCTTCTGTTTAAGCGTGGGACAAAATCAATCAAACTGACCATTGTCAAGAGTTTTATCACCGGTTGTGTAATTGACCAAGCGGTCAACAAACGGGATAACAGTCAAAGGGTTTGACCAGTTTGAAATCCAAGAAGCCATTATGGAGGACCAGTGAAAATACGTTTTAGAATTAATCTTCAGTAACCCATGCTCGTCTTCCCCGTGGACAATCCGTGTTAAAATTGATCTTCAGCAACTAATGCTCCACGCAAAACGCGACTAACGGATTCGGGTGGTCAGGCTCGCTGACTTTGTTGACACATGTCATCGGTTCCCAATTGCTCAGATCGATGATCATGATGTCTATCACATGATTGTCTAGTCCAGTCACGATTATTTACAGACTCGTGTGATAAAAATGGGATATTGCTGAGTGTGGCGTTATATAATAAACAAACAAAGTCAAAACGAAAACAACATGGCGGCAACGGTAATATGGAGATACACATAGCGATACGACAGGATAATCATCCATTACAACTGGTAGGTATCTGGCAGTATCCTGCTACCAGATTCAAGGTACCGATATCTGTATATTACTGACTCATACTCTATATCTGCTACACATCAATCAGGGCATAAGTCAATAATCTCGGCACAGATGGTATATGGAGTACCTCAACAATACTCCATAACCGTGTCACCATTGACGTGTCTCAGGCCTTCTGGTGTATCAGGTCATCTAATCGAACACGGCTTAGTTGCCACCAGC